ATTTTATGTTAATGGTGTACCAAAGCCCCTGTATATCTTTCGATTTGCAAGAAATTTGGCATAGATAACTGAATTAAGTCTAGAATGACGTGTGTTTAATTTCGTGAATATCGGTTCATTTTTAGATGTAGCTCCCATATATATGTTTCCGATTTTACGTAAATTGTGCACTAAAAACCCAAAGTTTGTCCGCTTAACACAAAATTTTGTACAGTATACTGAAGTTAATATAAATCCGATCAGATTTAGATATAGCTTCCACACATATATTTTCATACAATTTTAGGTAAATGGTGCACCGAACTCCTAATGTTTTCCGATTGACACGAAAAATTTCACAACGTATCAAATTAAGACTAGAATGACGTTATTACGTTTTGTTGAATGTGGTGCAGATGCAGACGAATGGGTGTCTGATTGGGTTTATATTTTCAACAGTGCGGCATACAGAATAGCATGTATCAAGTTCGCTTTAAATCGATTAGTCCCATTGTACGCAAACGATTCTAAATCTGCCCGAATGAAATTAAATTTAGCATATGTTGTAGAAATTCATCTGTATGAATTGATGTTAGTCGATTCGCTTATAGATAAAAATCACATATTTAAGTTCGTTCATGTCAATTGTGTAATTTAAAAGTCGTAATGTAACGCATATTAGATTTTGGTAACCCACATAAAGCGCGTTATTCACCATACATATTATTGTCAAATGTTTGTTTACCCTAGTGCTGGGCATGCACGGGAACTGGTGCCCTTGTTTACATGGAACTATAAGCTCGTTAACTGCGTTCTCTTTTAGCAAGTCATTTTATATGGCCGTTTCTAATTTACTCTCCGAGCATTTTCTCTCTGCACACTCCTAGTTTACCCACAGCTTTCGCAACATCATCCCACGCCTATTCTTTATTATTTGATTGCGGTAGGATATCATTCTTTTATTGAGTTGGCTGCAATTTGGTATGTTGGGTTCTAATTGGGTACCAAATTCACCCACCAAAATTTATCAATATTGGTGCAATTTTTTGTATAGCCCGGTACCATAAAAAATTCGGTATTTTGGGGTCTTGACCCCAGGTTTCTATTGATTTCGCTTCAATTTGGTACTTTGGATTCCTATTTGGTAACAAAGTTCGGCCCGGCAGAACTTTACGCGTGGTCATTTTTTTTATTCTGATGATATTTAATTGTTTTTCCGTTCTTATTATTTGTTCCACCACTGTATATAATAATAATGAATTATATATATATATATATATATATATATATAATCTGTTTATCAAACCGTAAAATTAAGCCTTGAATTAAATAAAATCAAGTGCTCTGTCACTTTTAGTTATAGACATTTAACACAGTCAATACATTTTAACTTCCAAAACTGAATTTACATCTTACATCAACATTTTATGATTAATGATATTTAACTACGGCCACATCAACCAATATTAAAAATCCATCATGTATATTGATAATCCTAATCAAAGTGGATTAAGTTTTGTGATTAATTTGATTTATACCATACAAATTAGATTGGATATTTCATACAATCGAATCGGTCAAAACATGCTCTTATTATTTGTTCGGTGCCGGTAAATACAAGAAAAAATTCGATTTTGTTTTGAAGAAGCCAATATCTGAATAGGTAAATACACACATCGTAGTTGAATGAAACCTACCTTTATTAGGTGCAACCGTTTTCGGTATGGCTAGAAATTCATTCTCATAGCCTGAGGGAAGGAAAAGAGTGAAACAACAATCGAAGTCAGTGTTAGTCGGCTAAATATTACCTTACGACACAAGATGTTGCTCTGATATTGTTTAGTAATGTTATTGTCATAGCAGGGTTGTATATCTCGTGGACTTTTGCTAGGGTCTATATCTAGTGGAATTTCGGAACTAGTTTGGCAGAAAATTGAAGTCCAGTGGTAGTTATGTTGGGTATCATATGGTTGGCCGACTATCCTGCTCACTGGTTTTACATTGGAAAATCAAACTCCATGTGTGAAAGGTTTTCAGTGTCAAATCAAATCCCGATTTTAGGTATTTTTTGCCTATTATACACATTTTAGGGCCAAATTGGCTGTAATTTTGCACAGAGTTCTCTTTGGGTACCAAATGTCAATGCAAAAATTTATGTATGTAGGTCTATGTCAAGTGGTTTGCCAGTTAATGAGTTTATACCCAATTTTTGACTAAATACTCAAAATAGGGGTATGCGGGCTACCAGAAAACGTGGACCTACATATATACATTTTTGCATGGACATTTGTTGCCCAAAGAGAACTATCTGTGCCAAATTACAACCAATTTGGTCGTAAAATGTGTCTAATAGACAAAAAATATCTTAAATCGGGAGATACGGTTATAAGGGGGATAAATGAAAACTTGGACCCAGGGACCCCATTTCCCATAACATTACTTGTATTGATACAAAAACCATCAGTGCCAAATTTTGGCCGATGATAAAAAATACCTTAAATCGGAAGATACGGTTATATGGGGGCTATATCAAAACTTGTACCCCATATTCCATTTTAACATTTGCTTTGACATTAAAAACATGTAAGAAACATTTTGGCCGCCTATGTCAAGTGGTTCGGCAATTAATGAGTTTATACTCAATTTTTGGGTAAATATTCAAAATAGGGGTACCTTTGTATGGGGGCTACCAGTAAACGTGGACCTATATACATGGACACATGGACAATTACAGCCAATTTGGCCCTAAAATGTGTATAATAGGCAAAAAAATACCTTAAATCGCGAGGTACGGTTATATGGGGCTATATCAGAACTTGGACCCATTAAAATCATGTAAGCAAAATTATGGCTGCCTATGTCAAGTGGTTCGGCAGTTAATGAGTTTATACCCAATTTTTGGGTAAATACTTGGGTATTAACCTAAGTATTTACCCACGTCTTTAAAGTATAGTAAAACTATCCATTCTAAATCGATTTGATAACAGAAACCCGGAAAGATGTGTAAGATGTTGGATTACTGATTAAATATAGTAAATACCCAAATAAATACCCTGAAATGGGTATTTACCCAATTCACATGTGTATAAAATCCCCAAAACACTATAATTAGATGGCAAAGTTATATGAGGCAATCACCAACGTACCCAGGTTTTTTCTCGGGGGATTAGGTGGAAGGTTAAAAAAAAGTAGAAGAATATTAATAATTTTTGGGAGTGAGATTTGTTACCATATTTGTGAAAAACACGCTCAAAACTCCAAAACAACAAACATTGGGGGGTACCCCTATATGGGAGCTATGTCAAAACCTAGAACGATATATCCCAACTTCGAACTTGACCCCTATGCACAATTTTTACGATCCATCTCAACTCGTTTAAAGGCTAGGGTGATTACAACAGACAGGCGGACACCGCTAGATCTTCATAGAATTTTACGCTGATCAAGAATATATGGCTCATTTGCTGAAAGACCGGCATAAATAAAAATCGTGATTTTTGAGTTAATAATGCAGAATTGTTCCCTATATCAGACTTCATATTGTGTAAAAAAATTCAGATGATGATATCATCCACACTCTAATTGGGAAGCTGTAGAAGTTCCTCTGTCCCATATAAAGTGTGAGTAAATTGACAACTTTAAATATATTTTCTGCAAACTCGATTTTTCGATTTATGCCGGTCGGAAATGATTATTTCGATGAGTTACAATTGGACAAACAAACTTTCCTCCAGTCAAATTGTATGAGAAATATTTTTTTTGAACATCTCGTCTTTCAAACTCGAATCCTTGTGTTTAATTTTTTTGGGATTTTGAGGATTTGTGGCACGAAATTGGATGCAATTTTGTATTTTGAGTTCTTAACCGACCCAATCCCAATCTTATATTTTTGATGCTATATGGGTAGAAAAATCTACCTAACATAAAATATAATTTTTGGTTAGGGGCTTTGGGTACGTTTTTCAACCGAATTGACTGCAGTTTCTTATTCTGGGTTATCATGGGGTGTCAAATCTTCCCCCTCTTGATACCGGTCCACCTTTTCGGTGTTTTGAGAGTTTTTCTATCAATGTAACTATTATTTCGCATTGCGGGGCTTTGGTGTGTGGCATACATCTATGCAGAACAATATCAATTTATGTAAAGTTTTGGACACAGCCCCCCATAAAAATATTATATCCCTTTTTCGATATATTGAAGGTTTTTAGTTGAATTCAATTTAAATTTCCTGTAATTCGTAATATCTACAAAAATATCCATCATACGATTTAACTAAAATAATCTGTACTAGCTGTAAACAAATGTATAAAGCGATTTTTTCATAAATTATAGGGTCACCAGGAAAAAAACTTGAAGTATGATAAAATGCCCTTCTGTGTTTAGGGCTTTAATTCCCAACATCACCCCCACACCTAGAGCACCAATTTTGTAGCATATTTTCATTTATTGGACTATATTGAAATTGAGATATAAGATTTTCAAAATATAACAGTAATTTCCGTACAAAAGCTCAAATTAATTCTATTTTAGTAATTTATATCCATAACAAACTAAAAATAACTTCCAAAAAGTAGTGATGATACTGTAGGGCATAATAACGCTTTCGTAGAAAAGAAGATGGCCAGCTACAATAATTAAAAGCAGAGAAGAAAAAAATGTAATTAAGTGATCCGCATGTAATCATTAGATTATCAATATGATTATTCCCATATCATGGTATGAGTGTGCGTTATTAGCCTCCCCTTCGCATGAATGGTCATTTCTGAAGATTCCAACAGCTGACTATACCGTCTATTGGTGAAATGATGAAGTGAAGAAGAAACATATTTGAAGATAACAGGAAAACAATAATAGAGAAATCTAAAATCGCCAGCTTGTTACTTACGGCAGACAACGAAAGAGATTCGAAAATTTCTTTGATAAATCACACACAGTGAAGGTCCATACCACAACTATTGACATTGTTTTTGTTTTCGGGTGTCTGCGAGAGTGATGTTGACGAATTTCAGTTACTATTTTTGGATGGATATAAATAGCATCTGTGACCGTTGTAAGATCAGTACAAACTCAACAACACAGCGTAAAACAACAGTTTCAAAGAAACAACAACAACTTCAACTGCTATTTTTGTAAATCTCAAGCCTAGAAATGCGTGGATTCATTGTAAGGATTTCAATTCGGTTTTGGGGACGAGATAATAATATAGAGTTATTTGTTTTTTAGGTTATGTGTTTGTGTGCCGTAGCCTTGGCTGCTCCCCAGGGTTATAACTACAATGCCCAAGGTGTTAGTGGTGGCAACGTTTTTCAACAACACGGCAATTTTGGTTCAAACTTTGGAGGCTCTTCAATTGGCTCAGTAGCTGGAGGTTTCCTTCAAGGTGGCCATGCTGTGGCTCAACAATCTCAATCCTTTGCCGGTCATCAACAAGTTCAACAACATCACCAACAACAGGCTATTGTTTCCAAACGTTTCTTCATTCACTCCGCCCCGGAGGATGTAGAAGAAGATACACAGGAGAAACACATTACCATTGGTGTACCCAAAAAGAACTACAATGTTGTGTTCATTAAGTCGCCATCCAAATCGACTAAGAAGACTTCAATCAAAATTAGCCCCGCTCCCACCGAAGAGAAGACCGTCATTTATGTGCTCAACAAGAAAACCGATGCATCCGACATTCAAGCCGAAGTTGTTGAACATCCTACCACCACAGCCAAACCTGAGGTATTCTTCATCAAGTACAAGACCAACGAAGAAGCTGCTCATGCCCAGGAACAAATCCAAGCTCAATATGATGCTTTGGGTGGCAGTTCCCAGGTCAGTGATGAAGGTGTTGCCCCTGTTAGCTCAGTCATTGGTGCCTTGGGTAATGCTGCTGCTGGTGGTGATATCAACTCCGGTGTCAATACTGGTTCCGTTGCCATTGGAGGCGTTCAGTCAGCTGGCGGTAACTTTGCTGGTGTCTCTGCTGGTCATGCTGGTGTCCAACAAACAAATAGCAATGCCTATTTGCCACCAAATTTCTACTAAATTTCAAAATTTAGTTAGTTGAAATTTTGTAGTCTAATTTCATTTTTTGTAAGACTACATGTTGTTACTGTTGTTTTCTGTTTTACTATTTTTTGTTAAAACATTTTTAGAAAATTATTTTTTTTAGAAAATAAATCAAAACAATTTTATTTGAAAACAAAGTTTATTAATTTCTATAAATGCCCATATTTAATTATAATGATAAGTAATCTTGACCCACTAACGTATGATTTGATTTCTCCACGGGCCTTTGAAATACACATAATTATTTATTTATCTTGTCCATCGCTATTAATTTGATTATCCCAATTAATCTTATTAAATATGTTTGTAACGAAAAGAGTTTAGATATAATTATATCAATTGTTTATGATTAGCTGCTTTTGATTTGCAATACATATTAATTCATACACATACACATATGTGCATACAGTTGTGGTCAAAAATAGTAGTTCTCATAATAAAAATCGTTACTTTATACAAAAAAAAAAAAAAAAAAATTTCATCAGACTAAAAATAGAATACACATGTATCGGCTTTAAATGTTCGCCATAAAGTTTAACTATAAGTCTGAATAGACCAAAACTCCAAAAACAGCTTAAAATGTCAAAAATTGATCTTATTCCGAGTTTGTATGAATGTTTCCCACTAGAAGTCGTTTTAGAAGGATGGTATATAAAGGAAAGTGTATATTTCGGGTCGGTTTTGTGCAAAGGGTCAAAATTATGTAAATCGATTTAAATCAAACTATTCATTATGCTACCAGTTCATAATTTAGTTTATCGTTTTTGCTCTTCCAGAAATGAACTTTTTGTCAAAAAATTGGGTTCCTGGCCAAATAGTGCGAAAACTTTTTCGCGAGTTCATACTATCAGCGGCCAAAAATAGAATGGGTCGTAAAAATTTCATTCCGTTGTCCTATAAAATCGTTAACACTCAACCAACTTCAATGAAAATTGGCAATTTACATTTACTTACGTCCATAAAATCTCTCTATAGTTGTTTTATTTTTGTTATTATATCCTACACAACTATGATGTAAGGGTATTGAAGCCTTGTATGGCCCCACGAGTTTGTAACGACGTGAAATATTGGCCCTAGACCAACCTTTTATTATACCGATCATATCTCGACTACCTGAGTCGATCTAGACATGTGTGTCCTTCCATCCGTCCGTCTGTTTATTATAACTTCGTAAGGCGATACAGGCAGATCACATCTTCACGGAATTTTGCATGTAGGACCGGTTCTGGCCAGAGAAGATCCCTATTGTTTTTGGAAATTATTCGTCGCTCCAGTGCACTGAGGGCGAAATGGATTTTTCAAAAATTTTTATTGCGCCAAAATTGTATCTCTGTCGATTACTATAATACCCACTGATCTAATATATCGATTATATTCTGATTGATATGATCCAGTTGAACAGCTGTGAGCTGTCAAACACAACATATGTTTCAGCCAATGCATAACTAAGCTTCAACATGTGTTTTCTTTACTTTGCCAAATTTTCTCTAAATTAGCATTTGTCACAATTAAGTGAATGAAAAGTTGATTTATTTATTGTTAGAGGTATGTTTTAACTAAAAAAATTAGTTTGTGAACTGTGCTTAAGTGTTGTAGAAAAGATTAAGATTGCATTTATTGAGCCTTTAAAACAAACAGTAAAATTTTACAGAGTTGTCATAATATTTAGAAATACTTAAGATTGTAATGTATAATCAAAATTTACAATAATTATGTGTACAGCACCATAATTAAGAGTAAAATAGACACAAAAATAAATTCAGAGTGTTAATGTAATAATAATAAACTCAATTGAACTTATAATCTAAAAACAAAACAAAAACCAAAGAAAATCAAAAAATAATTAAAAAAAAAAAAAAACAAACACGTATATTACCCCCTATGCGTACCAGGATAAGCTTTTTCGTAAAATGAACACCGAGTATTGACATAAATGTCAAAATTCGGTGGATTTTCATTAATATAACCAATAGGCGCAAGTAATCTGTATTCCTCCAAGAATATGACATTTGATTATTATAAACACCTGACACGTAACTGTTATCATGATTTTGTACCCTATGAATAAATTTGGATATCAAATCACAAACGGAGTAACTTTTGACTCAACATAAACCACTCTGTTAGAAAAACGTTTGCAAGGTGATTTGAAATATTTACCACCTAAATATTTTACACCTAAGTATTTTAAGGAATTTCCTATAGGAATTTCAACGTCATTAAAATATAATTTCAAATTTTTACTTTCCGGAACAACAAATTTTTTACATTTTCCTGAGTGTTGTAGAAAAAATATAGTTCAAGTATACTATACAAATCATCTGCTTGAAAAAATCCAAAGTAAGACTTCCTATCGGAACTTCTGATATTCGTGTGTATTCGCGCTAGAATGTTTTTTTTTTTAATTACTATGTCGTCTTGTGATTGTAAAATGTTCAAATGATCTGCAGCCACCTGTAACTTTACATGATACTGCATTTTTTTAGGAAAAATGTCGATGCTCAGACGATAAGTTTACTAAAAAAAATTTCTGTCATTGAAACTCATATATTTAATAATATTATTAATATCAACAGGTACGATGCTAACAAAGTTCTTCTAATAAACAAAAAAATTAGAAAATTTGTTGCAAAATTTGGTTGAGAAATGGAAATTCGACCATAGAAGCAGCCACAAATTTGAAGAAAACAACAAGGAATGGTTAGACGGACAACTTTTATTAGTTAATCCGCTGACTAATCGTGGAACAGCCAATAAAAAGTTTGACGAATGTTCCAACAAAACGAAACTAAAATGTTATCCAAATGGAGTTCAATTTACGAACTATTCAGCTCAAGTGCCTTTACAAGATATGGTGGATTCATTCTTCTATCAGTATTTAATGTTGCTGAACGGAGTGAGCAGAATCTCATTTCTTGCGGGCTCAAAATCGATATTGAATCTTTTAAGCAATATGCTTTACAGACCGCAGAAATTTTCTCATACTCTATCCTTGGTTTTATATGTCGTGTTCCATACATTAAATCTTAATACATGGAGCCGAAATAATTAAAGTATCACCACTTCCAATAGAAATAATGTTGGAAGAAGCGTCAGAAGCCCGGCGAAGATTACCGCAATTTCCGTGAGCACCATACGCGAAAGACATCCCGATTAAATACAATGGAAGACTTAATGCAGGCGCTTTGTGTTCATCAGATCCCTTGATTTCAAATTTACGCAAACCACAAGCAACCAAAAACCAGTAAGGAAAGTAGTAAAGTCGGACGGGGCCGACTATATGATACCCTTCACAACTATGGGTATATTAAACAGGACTATTAACATGAAATTGGATGAAATAAAATATTAATCTAAATGTGAATCTACCTAGATCTATCCATAAAGTATGTAAATCGACTTCAAACAAATATAAATGGGTCATCCGTTTGGTTATGTATGTACTTCTAGAAAACGCAACTACGTAATTCTATATTCTATATTTTGTACGTTGTGCAAAATTTGATGTCAATCTGACTAACATGAGGAGTTTGATGTCCAATTTACTTGAAATCGGGCGAAAATATATATGGTAGCCCTATCCAAATATTAAGCGAATTCAAACAAACTTGTCAGGTTAGGTTATACTTATTTCAGAACGTTTTGTTCCTATTGGTTTCATGGTGCGTCAATTACTTAAAATCAATCTATAATAAAAGGCAGCTTAATCTAAATCTGGACCGATTTTCATGAAACTAGGCAGACATCATTCTAGGCTCAATTAAGAACGTTATAACAAATTTCGTGCAAATCGAAGGATATATAGGGACTTTGGTGCACCATTTACATGAAATCGGACGAAACTATATATGGGAGCTATATCTAAATCTGGACCGATTTTCACGAAACTTGGCAGACATCATTCTAGACCTAAATGATTAGGCCTTACCAAATTTCGTGCAAATCGAAAGATATATAGGGACCGTTTACATCAAATCGGTTAAATATATATATGGGAGCTATATCTAAATCTGAACCGATTTTTCCCAATTTCAATAGGGTTCGTCCTTGGGCCGAATAAGTGACCTATGCCAAATTTCATCCAATTCGGATCATAAATGCGACCTGTACTTTGTTTACAATTTAACATGGACAGACGGACGGACGGACATGCATAAATCGACTTAGAAAGTGATTCTATGCATATTCTCAAAAGGAACCATGTGTCTATCTCGTTTCATTTTGCCTGTTACAAACATATGCACAAAGACATAATACCCTGTACCACAGTGTGGTGAAGGGTATAAAAAAGAAAGATGCCGATAATGATATTTTACAACTTTTGTCTGAACATTGTGTATGCAAATCGGAGTATAAAAATATATCAAGCACAACCGAATGAACAGAAATAAAGGCCTATGTTGACCAGTGAAAGTTTCTGGCACACAGCAGCATTTTTGATGCTCAACTCTCTACACTTAAAATCTAGTGAACATGACAATATTTCTATACCCTGCACAACTATGTTGTCAGGGTATTATAGCTTTGTGCAGCCCCAAAAGTTTGTAACGCCGCGAAATATTTGTCCTAGACCCACCTTTAAGTATACCGATCGTCATATCTCGAATAGCTAAGTCGATCTAGACATGTGTGTCCGTCCGTCTGTCCATTATAATTTGTAAACACGATACAGGCCACAGTTATGGACCAATCTTCACGAAATTTTGAATGTAGGATGGGTTCTGGCCAATGAAGGCCCCTATTGTTTTTGGGAAAGATCGGTTAATATTTAGGGGATGAAATGGACCAAATACTAATTTTTGTCGGTTTTTCTGGCCGCTCCAGAGGCCGCAGTTATGGTCCGAACACCGTGAAATTTTACATAGAGAAGGGGATCGGGCCTAAGAATAAGCATGCCTGTTTTGATAAAGATCGGTCAATATTTAGCGGGTCAAATGGACCCTAACTTTTGTGTGAAAAATTACAAAATTTTTATTCTGGGGCGTATATACTTGCTCCTGAAGGACATATACTCGAGAGGTTGATGAGAGTTGTTGACCTTCAAATTGATACCAATTATATGGCTGTATGTATACCGAGGCGGGAGTTATACGTAATTAAGTAAAGGTGACTATGTGCATATTATTACTATTACTCCATTAGAGGACGGAAATGTCGCGCTGATTGCTTTGAAATTGTACATGAAGTTCCGATTATGGTCTAGGGTGATGCTTATAGTTTTCGGTGAAGTTGAGATTTCTTTCAGAGGGTGCAATGAACCGAAAACATTAATTTTGTCAGATTTTCTAGTCGCTCTAGAGGCAATTATTATATGCACAACATCACATATTTTACAAGGTGAACGGGATCTGACCAAATACTTAGAGCGGCTGTTTAAATGAAGATCGGTCAATTTTCCGAGGGTCAAATCAACCAAAACCTAAAGTAACCAATTTTTATACCCTTCACAACTATGTTGTCAGGGTATTATAGCTTTGTGCAGCCCCAGAAGTTTGTAACGCCGCGAAATATTGGTCCTAGACCCACCTTTAAATTGATACTCGGATGCGGGAGTTACACTTAAATATTTACAGGTGCTTACGTATTCATATATTATTTAGTAACCTATTACCACACTGGAGTGCGGAAATATAACGCTGATCGCTTTGAAATGATCCATGAGGTTCCAGTTATGGTCAAGGACAACGCCTAAAATGTTAGGTGATGATCAAATAATAACTTTTCGGATGAAGTGGACCGAAAATTTAATTATTTGTACTTTTCGAGTTTCGAGCTTAACAACATCATTTTAGACTTAATTCAGTACTTCAGTAGTGTTGGCGGTTTATTTGGGATACCATTTGTATTTTGTTTTTATAAAAAACATCTATCTATTAGTGGGGAATGTATGGCATTGATTGCCGAGGGGTAAGGCAGTGAAGACTATAGTTTCGGATCACGCCAATGATCCTCATAAGTTCTCTTAGTTTTTTGTTGGGATATTCTCCCCAGAAGCTATTGCTTCTATACAAAAAACCCTTCAAACCCAAATGTCTCTTGTAACAAAGCGAAGTACTTACCTGACAAACGTACCAAATTTTCGTACCAAAATTCGTGCAAATCGAAAGATATATAGGGACTTTGGTGCACCAATTACATAAAATCGGACGAAAATATATATGGGAGCTGTATCTAAATCTGAACCGATTTTGACTAAACTTTGCCACATCATTCTAGACTTAATTCAGTACGCTATGCCAAAATTCGTGCAAATGAAAAGATTTCCAGCGACTTTGGTGCACCAATTACCTACAATCGGACAAAAATATATATGGGAGCTATATCTAAATCTGAACCGATTTTCATGAAACTTAGCACAAATTATTATAGACCCAAATGCCAGTACGCTATGCCCAATTTCGTGCAAATCGGAATATATATAGGGTCTTTGGTAAACCAATTACCTTAAATCGGATGAAAATATATATTGGAGCTATATCTAAATCTGAACCGATTGTCACGAAACTTTGCACACATCATTCTATACTTAATTCAGTACGCTATACCAAAAGATTTCCAGGGACTTTAGTGGACTATTTACCTAAAATCGGGCGAAGCTATATATGGGAGCTAAATCTAAATTTGTACCGATTGCCACGAAACTTTGCACACATCATTCTAAACTTAATTTAGTACACTATGCCAAATTTCGTGCAAATCGAAAGATATATAGGGACTTTTGTACACAATTTACCTTAAATCTGACGAAGATATATATGAGAGCTATATCTAAATCTGAACCGATTTTCATGAAACTTGGCATACATCATTCTAGACCTTATTCATTACGCTGTGCCAAATTTCGTGCAAATCGAAAGATATATAGGGACTTTGGTACACAATTTACCTTAAATCGGACGAAGATATATATATATATCTAAATCTGGATTTTCACGAGCTATATATAAATCTTTCGAAATTTTATATAGGTTTTGTACACAATTTACCTTAAATCGGACGAAGATATATATGTGGGATTTTCACGCTATATCTAAATCTTACGCTGTGCCAAATTTCGAGCAATTCGATATTTTATGAAATTATATACACACATCATTCTAGACCTAATTCATCATGCTGTGCCAATTTTCGTGCAAATCGAAAGATATATAGGGACCGTTTACATTAAATCGGACGAAAATATATATGGGAGCTATATCTAAATCTGAACCGATTTTTTCCAATTTCAATAGGGTTCGTCCTTGGGCCAAACAAATGAGCTGCGCCAAATTTCATCCAATTCGGATCATAAATGCGACCTGTACTTTGTTTACAATTTAACATCTACAGACGGACAGACGGACGGACGGACATGCATAAATCGACTCAGAAAGTGATTCTATGCATATTCTCAAAAGGAACCATGGGTCTATCTCGATTATTTTTGCCTGTTACAAACATATGCACAAAGACATAATACCCTGTGGTACAGGGTGGTGAAGGGTATAATAATAATGTGAAATGTAACTTCATAATGTCTCTTTCATAGAAGTCCTGCTCTCTATTTGCAAAAAACTCTAGTAGTTGATTTTCGCAATCCTCCCTAGATACCAATTTTTTATCATTAATGAATTGGTATGGCACCCAAACTTCGAGCTTCTTTTTGAATCCAACTTTGTTTGAATGATTTAAAACAGTTTTATGGTCGATTTTTTGCTCCTGGGCGATGTTACGACTGCTAACATGCCGGTCAACTTCGATCATTCGGCGACCAGCCTAATGGATTTATTTCTCTCCAACCTAATATTTTCGACCGACTTCGTCTTAATTGGGCTCCAGTTAATCAACGGAATGATAATAATTCAATTCGGTTCACATTTAGCTATAGATCACACATTTTAGTTCATCCAATTTCTGTTAGGATGCATCTGTTTAATATACCAATAGTAGTGACGGGTATAATATAGTCGGCCACTACTTTTCTTGCTGGTTTATAAAACATACATATTTCAAGACGCTTCCAGCCCTCAGCTTACAAACTAAGTGTCTGAAATTATTCTATGTTGATTGGTGCCAAGAAATTAATAAATAATATTGCAGTGCTTCAAAATATATTAATTAAATAAATTCATTTCTGTTTTATTTATATTCTTAAATATATATTTGGATAACTCTAATAATAATAACAATGATAAGGCTTATTTCTAATACCTTATTACAGCTGGCAAATATGCACCATATGCATAATTTGTATTAAAAATCGATTTACCCTGATGTCGCAAATTATCTAAACTTCCAATAAACGATGACACTGGAGATATTCCCTGGTTGGATATGCTGCTTGAACCACCCAACTGTTCAAATGAATCTCTAATACTATGCTGAGCATGTTCAGCTTCAGCATTTGTTTTGTATTTAATAAAGAATACTTCAGGTTTTGTCATTGTGATGTGGGGTTCTTCAACATAGGTTTCAACTTGAGGTTTGGCTGTATTTCTGGTCAAAACATAAATCGCGGTTCTATCTTCCTGAATGGCAGGAATGACACGGATTTTGGTTTTTTGTTGTTTAGTGGCGGGTGATTTTACAAATACAATGTTGTATTTCTTACGGGGCACACCAATAACGATATCTTGATGTTCGATTTCAGTTTCTTCTTCCTCTGGAGCTGAATGTATGAAGAAATTTTTTGTAACCAATGGTTGTGGATTGTGATGCAGCAGGCTGTCTACCGCCTTAGCAGCAACTGGTGCCGTCGAATATTGTACACCGGGTTGACCAGCATAGTGGTAGCCGTTAGGAACTGCAGCAGTAAATGCAAAGGTACAAAATAGCTGTTTTAAGATTAAAATATAATTATTATGCAAAAATTGTTTCAATATAAAACCAAATTGTATAATAGTCACATGAATGAATATCAATCTACTTACAATAAAAGTTCGCATATTTTTAGCTGTGAATAAGGTGTGGATTTACTTATGAATGAATCTATCGGTTAACAGTTAAATTGAGATAGCTCTGCTGTAGATGAATTGTCGTAGATTTTATATGTGCTCCAAATAATTGACCAAACATTCATTTATTTAATGATCTGTTTTGTATTTTTGAATGTAGAGTTGATGCTCTGAACGAATAGGTGAACACTGAACAAAATATCAGCGATTTTATGATAACTTAATGATTTCAATTAGTTGTACCGATCATTATCATGTATGCACCCTAGTGTTCGTTGTGAGTATTATTTAATGGTTAACTTATCACTCAATTTATGGAATACTTTGCTTGACCTTTAGTTGGTACGAGATTGAAAATAATGTGTGACATGGCCTATTGTTATTACTCATAATTATAAGTGACATTATCACAACCTCCGTCATAGAGTTAACTTGGCCGACTATATGATACCCTTCACCACTTTGGGTATACTGTACATATGTGTCCTTACAATTGCATGTCAAAGTTCCCTCGAAGGAACATACTCATATCTTTCTGCAACCTATGATAAAATTAATTTCATTCGGGTAGATGTAGAGTCGTCTGCGTACCATAGAAAACGATTTATAGCAAAATTTATGCACGCTATTCTGTAGCTCGCACTGTTAAAAATTTATTTCAATTAGACACACGTTCGAACTACATATGGAAGCTATGTCTGCATCTGCACCAATTTCAACACAACGCAATAACGCCATTCAAGTCTCAATTTGATACGTTGTGCAAAATTTCGTGTTAATCGGACAAATCGGGAGTTTGGCGCACAATTTAGGTAAAATCGTACGAAAATATATATTGGAGATATATCTAAAACTGAACTTAATAAACGTCATTCTAGACTTAATTGGCAAATTTAGTGCAAATTGAAAGATATAAAGGGAATTTGGAGCACCGTTTACATAAAATCGGACGAAACTGTATGGGAGCTATATCTATCTCGTTTCCTTTTGCCTGTTAAAAACATATGCGCAAAGACATAATACCCTGTACCACAGTGTGGTGAAGGGTATAAATACAAATGAAGGTATCTTCTTATTTTAGATAGGTGAAAATGTTGCTAAAATCCACAAAATACCATATTACAGGCAATCCGATTGAAAAACGTGTCCAAAAATTCCCAAAATACCGACATGGATCAATATTAGTAATTTTTTATACGGAGATGTGGGGGTACCGTTATATTGGGGCAACCTTAAAACTTGGTTAAAAAGATTTATTAATTACAGTCATTTTAATTGAAAAACGTGTCCAAAAATCCCCAAAATGTCGAATGTTGGGGAATACCGTTATATGGGAGCTACCCTGACTTGGTTCAATATTAATATTTTTAGTACGGAAATGTGTTATACAATAAGAACTCAAAATACTAACCAATTCGATTGAGAAACGTGCCCAAAATCAGAAAAGTACCGAATATTGGGTGTATGTGGGGGCTAAACAAAAACGTGGACCGGTATATTCTATTTGCAATACCATCCTGGGAATACTAGCAATTTCTGCGAACAATTTCAGAGTTCTAATTTAAATATTGCGATCTCTATCGTGATTTCAAGAGATGGAAATTCATAATGAAATAAATAGTAAGCTATGGACAAGTGAATTACCTCATTTTTTTTTAACAAAACTAAAGCAACTCTGCAGTACAAACAGAAATATTTCTTGAATTATAAGTCGGTTTTATGCAACTATATCTGTAGTGAACGTTCATCACGGAGGAGGGCCGCAAAAAACATCAGTTCGTACTGATCAACAAATTGGCATAGCAGTATAAACTACCTTCCTATTTAAGATTTCAACGGAATTAGTGAGAGGGTTATCGTTGGATATAACCTCAATAAAAGAGCGCGGACGAGCTATGGTAGCAGATCAACATGCCCGGAAACTATAATGAATGTCAGATTACTTCTACAAGAATCGGAAAACCGTATAGGCTTTCGCAAAAGCTCATATTCATTGGAATCCGTATCAGTGGAAAAATATAAATTAAACCAGTGAGCGGAGCAGTATAGACGGACGGGGCCGACCATATTACACCCTACACAACTACCACGGAACTCTAACTTTTGCGTATGTTTATTTCGAGCCTGATCAATATTTCGTGATTTTTGCACCCTCTTGACCGATTAGAGATTAACAGCACCTCTTCCTTACAAATACATATTTTCCGAATATCTCAATATTCTGTTGTCTTGACCATACCTGGATCCTCAAGGAAAATTTCAAAGCTATATTTCCCTCCTCTATTGTGGTAACATGTTACTAAATAATATATGAATACGTAACCACCTGTAAATATTTACATGTAACTCCCACATCCGAGTACATACGACCATATAATTGGTATCAGTTTAAAGGTGAACCACTCCTCTTGGATATACTATCAACTTCTTGGGTCTATGTCCTTTAGGAGTAAATATATATGCCATAGAATACAAATTTTGATATTTTTCACACAAAAGTATGGGTCCATTTAACCCGCTAAATATTGACCGATTTTTATCAAAACAGGCATGCTTATTCTTTGGCCCGATCCCCGTCTCCATGCTAAATTTCACGATGTTCGGGCCATTATTGCGGCCTCTGGAGCGACCAGAAAAACCGACAAAAATTTAGTATTTGGTCCATTTCATCCCCTAAATATTAACCGATCTTTCCCAAAAACAATAGGGGTCTTCATTGGCCAGAACCCATCATACATGCAAAATTTCGTGAAGATTGGTCCATAACTGTGGCCTGTATCGTGTTTACAAATTACAATGGACAGACGGACGGACACACATGTCTAGATCGACTCAGCTAGTCGAGATATGACGATCGGTATACTTAAAGGTGGGACTAGGACCAATATTTCGCGGTGTTAAAAATTTTGGGGCTGCACAAAGCTATAATACCCTGACAACATAGTTGTGTAGGGTATAAAAAGCACAAAAAACTAAGTCTTCGGTCCAATACATCCCAAAATTATTATCTGATCATCCCCGAAAATACTAGGCGTTGTCCTTGACCACAACTGGAAAATTTCAGAGCGACCAGTGCCATATTTCCGCCCTATTGTGTGGTAATGGGTTACTAAATAATATCTCAGTACGTAAGCACCTGTAAATATTTAAGTGTAACTCCCACATCTGAGTACGTACGGCCATATAATTGGTATCAATTTAAAGGTCAACCACTCCTCTTGGATATACAATCAACTTCTCGGGTCTTTGTCCTTCACGGCAAATATATAAGCAATAGAATACAAAATTTTTAATTTTTCACACAAAAGTCGTGGTCCATTTGACCCGCTAAATATTGACCGATCCTTATCAAAACAGGCATGCTTATTCTTTGGTCCGATCCCCTTCTCCATGTAAAATTTCGCGATGTTCGCGCCATAATTGCGGCCTCTGGAGCGACCAGAAAAACCGACAAAAATTTAGTATTTGGTCCATTTCATCCCCTAAATATTAACTGATCTTTACCAAAAACAATAGGGGTCTTCATTGGCCAGAACCCATTCTACATGCAAAATTTCGTGAAGATTGGTCCATAACTGTGGCCTGTATCGTGTTTACAAATTATAATGGACAGACGGACGGACGGACACACATGTCTAGATCGACTCAGCTAGTCGAGATATGACAATCGGTATACTTAAAGGTGGGTCTAGGACCAATATTTCGCGGCGTTACAAACTTTTGGGGCTGCACAAAACTATAATACCCTGACAACATAGTTGTGTAGGGTATAATGAATTTAATTTAAATATTAAAATATCAGACACGAAAAAATGAGGTCAAATAATTAAAGGTTCAAGCCTCAGTATATCAAGGGTGCTTGAAAACATGAAGGGGGAGTCAGTAAGGGTATGGACATGTTTTTCTTTTTATACAGTTCGATATATTTATGAGATTTGTAATATAATTGATAGCCTCCTTTGCTGAAGATAATATACTTGACTGGGTGTCTAAGCATGACAATAATTTCAAATATACATCGAAACATGTCAAAGATTGATTGCGGGAGTCAAAAATCAAGGTTTTAAAATGGCCATCAGATCTTCACGCTAGAGAAAAATCTTTGTAGTATCATACAGGGCCGTACGAAATTATTATACCCTACACAACTATGTTGTCAGGGTATTATAGCTTTGTGCAGCCCCAAGAGTTTGTAACGCCGCGAAATATTGGTCCTAGAGCCACATTTAACATAGGTGAGTGTTCAAGGAAGGAGTCTGCCGAAGTGGGTCTGGCAGTAAACGGCAAGAAGACCAAGTTGATGATATCAACGCGCAAGACGTACAGTAGACTCGGACCAACTGTGGATCTTGAGAACTACAGCTTCAAGGTACTCAAAGATGTTATATACCTTTCTACTGCCATAAATAAATATAATGATATCAGTTTTGAAATTCGGAGAAGAATAGTGTTGACCAACAGATGCTAGTATTGTCTAAGTAAGCAGTTCAGAAACTAGACCACCTCCTAAAACCAAATTTCTTGATTCAAGACATATTTTAAATCCGAGTCACGTTTTCCAATTCACTTACTCGATAAATCTCCTTTGCCATCAGATTTTTTTTTAAATATGACTATTATCAACATCTAGTCCATCCACTTGTTCATCAGGAAATTTGTCTCCAATTCGTCGCTAATGTTGCCGGCAAAATATGTTTGTAGAAAGAAACAACAATTATATTAACTACTAACAACAATTTACTAAATTTATTTACAACAACATTGTGCAACAATTCTAACTATAAAACTTTAACAAATTAATGACTTTCGGTTGGGGGTAAATATTCACCAGTTGGCGCAGCATCAGATTTTTCTTGACCGCTTTGTTGCAGTGTATCGAAAAGACCAATAACAGATTTAACAAGAGCAACACCTTCATCGGAAACACTTGTGGTGCCACCCAAACGATCGTATTCAGCCAAAATGTGACGTTGAGCATGTTCGGCTTCCTCGTTTGTACGATATTTGATGAAAGCAACTTCAGGTTTGCTGGTGGTTGTAACCGGTTCTTGAACAATGGATTCCACAATAGGAGCATCAGCTTTCTTCGATAGAACATAGACAGCAGTCTTTTCCTCATTAACAGCCGGTGTGATACGGACCTGAATCTTTTGTTGTTTCTCAGCTGGAGCTTTAACGAAAACTACATTAAGGTTTTTGCGTGGTGTACCGACAGCAATGTCGTGTTGATGGACTTCTACACCTTCCTCTTCGGGGGCTGAGTGAATAAAGAAACGTTTTGAAATTCCAGAGATAGTACCCACACTAGGACCATTTGCTTGGCTAGGATAGTTGTACCCCTCCAGTGAAGCAGAGCACAATGCAACAAAGCACAATACCTACAAGTTGATAATAAATATATAAATTATAAGAAATAGAAAATCATTTGAATTAAAATATTTATCACTTACAATAAAGGTACGCATATTTTGTTTCTGTTACGAAATTTAACCGAATGTTTTCGAAAATGTATTTGATCTGATGAACTCTGGGTTCGTAATATGCCTTAACTGTTAATGGTCGATATATTTATACTAACTCTCTAGTTGTATATTTCATTAAGAAGATATTCATTTATCATTTAAATGATTGTCGATCAGACCTCCAAAATATCTATGCCAAATGTTGATCTCTTAGTTTGTTTCAACTAGTTAGTTCTTCAATATTAGGCTAAATGTCGACGGCCAATATCATTTTTTTTATTTGAAGATTTAAATCAATTTGTCATAACTAATTTTGAACACAACAGGGAATTATTCTTCACAAGTTTGGTAGATGTTGTATAATATTTATTTCGACCTATTTTCTCAAATTTTAATGTAAAATTTGAGAAAATACTTTTAAGTTTCTATAGAGGTAAAGTATTGTAAAAGGCCGAAAACGTCTGTTTAGCTCCATGAAGTATTCATAGTATTGATCTATATCAGCAAAATTGTTCCATACCTAGCAATGCTATTTGTAAAAATTTTAAATAAAAAACAAGTAAAAATGTCGAACTTTGTATACCCTCCACCAATAAGGTTAAAAAATAACAAATTTTGACAATTTGTGGGGAGGTACTAAAAGGAGTGGACCGATAGGTTTCATCTTTCACCACTATACAGGCTTGGTTAAAATATTAGGTTGTGCAAAAGTTGGTTCGCATGCTAGTACAAAATAAATTTTCAGCTAAATTTTGAGAATGAGTAAGCCGACATTCAACTTCTTCGAAACAAATATTACGATGTGTAAAGTTTAGATGAAATCGGCTACCCCTTGCGCACCCGCTGACCAAAAAGACTGACATTTGCAAATCGACTTCAAATTGTCTGAAACGGCAAAGAAACATTGGGACTAAAACTAATATTTCGATTAGGCACCTTTATGCATCCAACGCACCGACAATTGAGCTTTTTAAAGCAAATTTATCTTCATTGCATTTGTTTATTCACCAGGAATCTGTAATACTAAAATACAGCATTCGTTATATATCTATCTTCTGCAAATACATTTGCATTTGTCTTCGTACATACATTTGTCTTCGTACGAGAACTGGGATGCCATAATGATTTGCATGCAAGTTTAGTAAGTTCATTAATATTGGCACCGAAATTGGGTTTAGTTTACATAGATTAAAGGTTTTCTGAGGAAGGTTCGGCAAAAAGTTGAAAGGGCGGTGTTGGCGTGATACCGATGAGGGGGAGAAAAACCAAAAAAAAAAGAAAGAAAAACAAAATAAAACAATTTAGGTATTAAATGTGGTTTCAAACTTTATTTGGCAAGTTAGTGAGCTTCCAACGAAACAAAACTTTACCTTAATGCGTGCGTTCGAGAATGCAAGCTGAATCAACGATAGCGAGATTGCAAGTTTTAGCAACGAGAGTTAGAATGCAAGTAAGTCGCGGTGAGCAAATGTAGCGTCAACAAAGTCGAGATCACATCGTCGACCGTAGCACTGGAAAGTCCTCTCTGCATCCGAACTGAGCGAATGTGACTTCTAGGAGAGGGCGTAGAAAAGAGAGAATACTCTATCCTACAATCCGAACCAGGCGAATGTGACTCCTAGAAGAAGTGCAGAGAAGATTCCCCCATTGACTCAAATGAGTGGCCAATTAATGTAAATAATAATTGGTATGCTACGGAAGGGTGAATTATTATTCACCCTTGTCGTAAACAATGTATCGAACCTAAATAGGCGGTAAAAACATACAAATATAGATTTCTTGTCTATGAGGACCCTACCTAAATGTATATGAGCATTATTATCGGTACGGAGCGGACCATATCATACCCTACACAACTACCACTGATATGTAAGTCTCTGCGGATCTATATTCCAACATTGGTAATATTTTATGATATTTGCACTCTCTTATCCGATTAGAGGTCACCATATCCTCGGCGGCATCTTTTTAGAATCACATTTTCCCACAGTAAAAATATTTCATACTATTCAAATCTTGTTATTTAACATAAAAATGATTTGGTTCATGACAGCCATTCGAATTAGTAGGACAGATCGAAATACGTAATATAATTGGTATCAATTTGAAGATCAGCCACTACTTGGAATATACTATAAAGGACATTGACCACTGTCCTTCAGTAGTAAATATATACGCCATAGAATTCACATATTGCAATTTTTCACCCAAAACAATGGGTCCATTGACCCGATAATAATTGGCCGATCTTCTTTAAAACAAAAATGTTTATTCCATGGTCATACACCCTTCTCTGTGTAAAAATTCGAGATGGTCGACTAAAAGTAAAGTTTCAGGTCAATTTTATCCACTAAATATTAACCATTCAACCAACCACTAGGAAGAACTCACCCTCGTACAAAACTTAGTGACAATTGGTCCAAAACTGAGGCGTGTCGCGTTTAAAAATCATAATAGACAAACCGGCGGCCCGACACACATGTTGTCTCAGCTAGTCGAGATATGACGGAGGGTCTAAGAACAATATTTCACGGAGTTACAAACTCTTAGAGCTATTAAAATCTATAATACCCTAACAACATAGTTATGCAGTGTATCATAAACAACATAAACAAACCATAACTTTTATAAAAATTGAAACCTCTCATATTTAAAAGCAACATCTTTTATTTCATTAACAAAATAAGCATAACAAAAATTATCAAAGAACCCTAATGTTTCCTTGTGGGTGGTAAATAAGCTGAGGAAGCACTTCCTTGCTGAAGGCTATCCAAAATGCCAATAACGGATTTGACTTGGGAGACACCTTCATCCGATACACTAGTGGTACCACCCAAACGATCGTATTCAGCTTGGATGTGATGTTGAGCATGCTCAGCTTCTTCGTTGGTACGATATTGGATGAAAGCAACTTCCGGTTTGCTGGTAGTAGTTGATGGTTCTTGGACGAATGTTTCCACAATGGGAGCATCATTTTTCTTGGACAGAACATAGACGGCAGTCTTTTCTTCATTAACAGCTGGTGTGACGCGGACCTTGATCTTTTGTTGTTTTCCAGCTGGAGCCTTAACGAAAACTACATTGTAATTTTTGCGTGGTGTTCCGACAGCAATATCATGATGTTGAACTTCGACATCTTCCTCCTCAGGTGCTGAGTGAATAAAGAAACGTTTTGTAATCAAAGGTTGGGCACCATAGAGACCACCACTGGCAGCATTGGTCTGACTAGGATAATTATATCCTTGCTGAGAGGCAGAGGCCAATGCAACCAAACAAAATACCTAATGAAATGGAGAAGCTTAAATTAACGATTTAATGTAAAATATAAAATTTTTTAAATGTACCAAAAATCCACGCATTTTTATTTAATGTAGATGAAAAAAAAAACTCGAAAGAAATGCTAGATATTTTATGAATGTATAGAATGGAAATATAATTTATCTTACCACTAACTCTTATATTTATACTAGATCACGTTATTCATAAATTCAGTTATAATTTAAGCACACACGCTTCAGTTTGTCATTAACCGCAGATGACCCTCAGAAAATCGTTAGTTGTGGTATTCAAGAGCATAAAGTTTAAACGTTTCGAATTTTCTTTAATTTATAATTACTTCATTATTATAATTAATTTGACCAAATAATATGCTATTGTGGAATAAAAGCCGATATTTTGAAACTTACATAAAATCGTAGATTTTATATCAATTTTTGAGATTTAAAAAGACAAAAAAATTATTTCAGTTGGATATGATATTTGGGCCCTACCACTTTTCATGTTATCAATCTGATTTTTGGGCATTTCCAAATGTTGTTCTTGATCAGAATAGAATTCGATATCGATTTAGTCATGTCCGTCTGTCTGTTGAAACCACAATAAATCTTCCAAGATTTGAGATTGATTTTAAATTTTGCCCATATTATTCCTAGGATGTTTGGGATTGGAAATGTTTGATATATCGGTCAACGTTTAAGTAGAGCCCTATATAACGATATCTCTCAATATTCGATATTTTGGTGACTTTGATCGTATTTTCAACCGAATTGTTGAAATTTTCTATTTCTTTATTCCATAAATTTTGGTCCACTTGTAATGTTAGCACTCATATAATCGTACCCCCATTATATTTCATTTCGTTGGCATATATTTCATACTAAAAACCAGTAAGGAAAGTTGAAAACTCGGACGGGCTGACTGTATGATACCCTTCACCACTTTGGGGAAATAGAAGAGATGTTCAAATGTGCAATGTATATGTGATGATGAATGAAATATGTGATTTACATATATATTTGAACCAACTTAACCCTTTGAGCCCCGAATTTTTTTCCGCAATCTTAGAACGAATTTCTGTTCACAGATTTAATGCAACTATCCTAAATAGGATATGCACAAAATTTGACATCGATATATCCTTGCATTCGGGAGATACAGTACATTCTTTCGGAAAAATCAAAGACCAATATCAAGAAAACCAAATGCAAAATCGTCAAAAAATCATTTTAAATTATTTTCTATATATTAATTTTGAGGGTAGAATTTGTACAATTTGAATACGAAGCGATTTAAATAATTTGGACTGTATACACAAATTAGTACTGTACACAAATATACCCTCTTCTCTATATTAAAAAGCTCATAACTTTACCAACATTTTTAATTTTTTTGATTTTTCTTTTGATATGTGTCGTCCATAATCAGGTCTTGACATATGAAATCCTAATAATACATATCTACTAGCTGCATATAAAATATAACCTCTTAAACATTTTGTTGCCTGTGGGCAACATTGGGCCACAAAGGGTTAAATCAACTCATACGCATACCATTCTGAAATATATGAAAAATAGCATGTTAATCGGGCATACTGGTTTCGGGGTGTACCTTTGGTATGGAATCGAGCAAATTTTTGTACGGGAGCTATATGGAAATCTGGACCGATTTGAGCAGATGTCGCATACACCAGTTATGCTGCAACAAAGCATAAAATTAAGTCTCGA